CAAATGGAAAATCAATTATTAATTACATAAATTTGAGAGTTTAGTGATTATTGATTCTTTTTTCTTAAAGATTCAAACTATGCAAAAATTATTTTGATTTAAAATTTGTTGATTTTTACATAAATAACGACCAATTCCAAATTCTTCACAATGCTTCATCTTTAACTTAACTCTAATACATAAGATACTATTTGATTCATAATTGTAAAACTTAATAAATAAGTAATATAAATTCAATATTTTTTTTATTAATAATGAATTGCTCTTATCACATTAACAATCAAATCACTTTGATATGTATTGCTCCACACAAGTGCTAATAGTAAAGAAAACTCTGTACTGAATGCTTAAATGACCACAAAACAGATAAAATAATGTCCATTAAACAATTTCAAGAAATGGTTATATAAAAATAAAAAGATTGCAATCTTGATTAAGTATCAGAGTTAAAAAAGTAGAAAATGAATTTAATATAAGTGTTTTCTCAAACTGAGAGAACGATAAAAAAAATTTGGGAGGATTTATTTGAATCACTCAAATAAATTTACGATCTGATTGAATTTTAAGATTAATCATATATCTAAATCATTAACAAAAATTTCAATCCAACAGAATTGTCGAACGCTGACTTAGAGATATTAGTACAAACTCTAGAAAGTACCAATTTAAATGAATGGAATTCTTAAAAAAATTTGATTTTAATCAAGTTAGACAAGTTAAAAAATTGGTGGGGTTAAGAAATTAATGCTTTTAATAAAAAAATATAAAATGAAATGAAAGAGATTTTGTCTTTAGAAATTAAATCTTATTCTAGGATTCAATCCAATGAAGATGAGGGTGAAGTTTATCAAAGAAACGAGAATCTTTATGAAATTTTCACCTAGATTCAATAAATTGATATCGACGAATCAGTATACAAATAAATTATTATTATACTGAGTAAAGAGAAAATTACAGATCTCCTAGAGTTTCTTTCAAAGCCAAACAATCCAAAGCTTTACGAACCTTTTATTAACAAGTAAGAAAAAGTAATGGAAGTGAAAAAGCATATTAAGAAGATCAATAATATTTTAAGAAATATTTTAGATCATCCTTTTAGTAAGAATGATTATTCTACAGAAACCTTTAAAGAGTCAAGATTAAATCTAATTAAGAATATAGATGAAAATAAGAAGATTGTTGGTTTTCTGAAATTTTTAGTTCAACTCACAACTATTGACGAAAAATTCATTTAAGCTGGATCAAATGGACTATATTTATTAGTATGTATGAAAGTAGATCTGACCAATTAATGCTTTGAGAACATCAAGATCAAGAATACTACTTTGATTGGTGGAAATTTTGTTAGATGTAATTTTAGCGGATCAGAATTAGAAAATGTAGACATTAGTGGAATGAATTTAAATGGAGCTCTACTTTTAAATTGCAAATGGGAGAACATTAAAATCAATGAACTAAACAAATTTGATGGCCATAAAAATGAGGTCACATCAGTATTCTTCGCACCTGATGGTACTACATTAGCATCTGGCAGTGGGGATAACTCTATCCTTTTATGGGACGTTAAGTCAGGATTATAAAAAGCCAAATTGGCTGGCCATAGTGGAACCGTCTAATCAGTGTGCTTCTCACCAGATGGAACTAATTTAGCATCTGGTAGTAGTGATAACTCTATCCGTTTATGGGATGTTAAAACCAGAAAAAAAAAAGCCAAATTGGTAGGCCATTAAAAGGAAGTTCGATCAGTATGCTTCAGTTCTGATAGTACTACATTAGCATCTGGTAGTGGGGATAACTCTATCTGTTTATGGGATGTTAAGACAGGATTATAAAAAGCCAAATTAAATGGTCACACGGATTATGTTTTAACAGTATGTTTCTCTCCTGATGGTTCTACATTAG